CTGAGGGGGCAAAGTGGCACCTCCCATGAGGGGGCAATGACAGCTCCGCTGAGGGGGCAAGTGGCACCTCCCCTGAGAGGGCAATGACAGCTCCGCTGAGGGGGCAAGTGGCGGCTCCCATGAGGGGAAGGTGACAGTTCCCTCGGGATAAGTGACAGCTCCTCCGAGGGAGGAGTGGCACCTCCCATGGCGGGGAAATGGCAGCTCCCCTGAGCGGGTAAGTGACACCTCCCCTGAGGGGGCAAGTGACAGTTTCCCCCGGGTAAGTGGCAGCTCCCATGAGGGGAAAGTGACAGTTCCCCCGGGATAAGTGACAGCTCCTCTGAGGGGGGGGTGGCAGCTCCCCTGAGGGGGCAGGTGACAGCTTGTTGTCACCTTCCCAGCCTACCTGAAAAGAACACGGTGGTTGCTACGAGCAGGGCATACTCGGTCTCGGTGACTTTGAGTTCCCCCATGCTTCTGTAGAAGTAGAACAGGGCAGTGATGAACTCCTCCGTTAAGCCTTAAAGATGGGGGGAAAAACCCAAACAAACAAACAAAATAAAAGTATTTGAACAAAAATTTTTTTGAATAAAAACCAAAACAAAGTGATCATGATGTTGTTTCAGTGCAGAAACAGTTACAAATCATCTTTGCCTGAAGCATGGGAGATGATCCCCCCCCTGGATCCACCTGGATCGCTCTGTCCAGGACAAGGGACATGGAGCTCCTGGAGCAGGTCCAGCGGAGAACGTGAAGGTGATGAGGGGGCCGGAGCATCTCTCATTTATTTTCTTGGTAAATTCTGGATTTGATGATCTTAGAGGTCTTTTCCGACCTAAATGATTCCATGACTTCATGGCTGAAGGGAGCTGGGGCTCTTCAGCCTCAAGATGAGGTGGCTGAGAGGGGACCTCATCCCTGCCTGTCAGTGTCTGCAGGGACGAGCCAGAGGATGGACCAGGCTCTGCTCAGGGATGCCCAGCAATGGAATAAGAGGCAATGGGCAGAAACTGATGCCCAGGAAGTTCCACCTGAACATGGGGAAGGAACTCCATCACTGTGTGGGAACAGATTGTCCAGAGAGGTTGTGGAGTCTCCCTCACTGTGGATGTCCCAGAACTGTCTGGACACAACCCTGTGCCATGTGCTCTGGGATGACCCTGCTTGAGCAGGGAGGTGGGACCAGATGACCCATTGTTGTCCCCTCCAACCTGAGCCATCCTGTGATTCAGTGAGTCTTTTAAGGTAAATAGTTAACAAACTTCATGAAAACAGTGTTCATTTCTAAACCAGTAACAAAAGTTGTGTTAAGGTTGTACTGCGGAGCTTTGGATTTATATACAGCTCAAGGCTTTATCCTAGGATATAATCAAACATGAACACCACCTCTTCCTATGAGGATTTAATGCCTGTGTGTGTGATCAGAACAGCTTGAGGAAGAGGGAGCCCAGGGGCCACAGGGACAGTGTTGCTTGGTGTGATTAAGAAGAGGGCCAGCGAAGCAAAAGATTCCCAGTATTTAGATTCTACTCCCATTACCTGTGGTAGTAGTGGAAGTTGGACTGTCTTCACTGTGAGACATTTCCATGGAATAAATGTTGTTTTTATCAAGGCTTTGAACGTGACAACATGTCCCATGATCAGAAAGTCTTGCATGACCTGGAACAAGACAGATGACAGTCTACAGCCAAGCTTAAACTGACTATAAATATTTGTCTGTATCTGCTTTGAAGATATATAGCTTAAAATGTGGGAATTTTTCCCAGATCCATGTAGGTATAAAAAAAAAGCTCATTTGCATCATTTTTGGTCAAAGTCTCTTGTGTTAAACTTGAGGCAATATATAATTAGTCATTAACATAGCTAATATTAGCCATCCACCCCACAATTTATGCAAACACTCAAAAATGCTGCTTTTTGTTTAGAACTAATGGGAGGAAACCAGAAATCTATTTATTTAGTTATTAAAAAAATAAATTGTGTGCCTTGAATAAAAAGCCTTTAGAAGGTATGTTGTCATTAATGATACTATTCTAAGTACCACTCTACTTGGGTAGGTAATTATTTGAGATTAAGTGAATTAAAATGAATGGAAGTTTTTTTTAAATGGCAGAACCTCCTATTGGTGTGAGTAGAAAGCTTGTTAGTCAGACTTACTCTCACTTGTTGATGGTTGGCACTGGCTCATTCTCTGGTTGTATATTTGGGCTGACAGCAGGAACATTGCCTCAACTGTTGACCCTTTCAGCAGTGCAATCTGGTCCTCACTGGCTAAACTTTCAAATCCTGCAGAGAAAGGGACATGATCAGAATCAAGGAAGGCTGGGGATGCCTTTAAACCCCTAACATGAGGTGATAAAATGATTTTTTTAATAATAAATGCCTTTACTGGAAAGGAGGAGCCTTAGTTAAGTGATGCATGTACCAAGGACTGTTGGGATCTTTCTTGATTGTTTGTGTGTTAGACAATTAAAAAGAAAAAAAAAAA